CATCTGTTGTGGGGCATTGTACCCATTCTTTCCGTACCCATTTCGGGCGTCCAGATACACGACGTGCCCCCAGGAGATGGCAACATGTTTTGGTTCAGGGTTTCGAGAATCGGCCATATGTCGGCAGTCTTGGGTCCTCATCGAGGCATGTTGAATGCCATCGTGAACCTGTTTGGGCATCTTGCGCAGTCCCGGAGGCTCTGTTGGACTGTCTGTGTCCATCTTGGAGCCACCGTGGGCCAGAACGGACCCTCCGACACCAGGTCATCCAGGGTCGTCCAGGGTCTGTCTCGCTCACTCTCTCCCGCCCGCCCGCCACGCAACCGAAACTCGACGTGCAGTCAAGACGCTGAAGTGAGGAACCGTTTGGGTTCGGAAGGGGCTCGATGCTCCCCCGGTTCCTTCACTGCTGTCCCTCTCGCCCTCCTCGGGCACGGAGGCGCTCTTAGGGCCAAAAAGGGGCTTCGTTCCTTTGTTCAGCGTTTCTTCTTTCGGCGGCCCGACTGTAGCCAGCGGTCGCCACCCAATGGGAAGCCATCGGAGAACGGACACAGACGCCAGGCACGACGCGCGCTGTCGGGGTGCGCCGCGCGTGCCACGTGGACCGCGCGCGGGACACCCCCCTGACCGAGGAAGGAGCCAGCAGACCGAGGAAGCTCGACCCCCTGACCGAGGAGAAACCCAAACCGTGGAACACGCAAGCACGCCGGGAGAAGCGCGCCCCAGCAGAAACGGCGGGCCAGACACATTTGTGGCCCGTCGCGCTCTGCTGCCTCCCGCGGTCGCGGGCGCTCGCCTTGCGAGGCGCGCATGTGGTTCGCTCCAAAGCGAGCCCCCGACGACCGCGGGAAGCAGCAGAACGCGACGGGCCGCACATTTTCTTGGCCCGTCGCCCCTGCCGTGAGAAATGCCTAGAAGCACTACAAGGCGTGGCGTGCCTACGGCTCGCTCCGAAACGAGCCCCTGCAACCGCGGGAGGCAGCAGGGCGCGACGGGCCACGCGTATTTCTGGCCCGTCGCCCCTGCCTTGCGGAAGGCTTGGAAGCACTGCAAGGCGCGCCCATGGCTCGTTTCAGAGATAGACCCCACAACCGCGGGGAGCAGCACAGCGCCACGGGCCACACATGTTTCTGGCCCGTCGCCCCTGCCATGAGAATGTTTAGAAGCATTACGAGGCGCGCTCATGGCTCGCTCCAAAGCGAGCCCCCTGCGACCGCGGGAGGCACCAGAGCGGGAGGAGGGGGAGGAGGAGGAGGAGGGGGAGGAGGAGGAGGAGGAGGAGGAGGAGGAGGAGGAGGAGGAGGAGGAGGAGAAGGGGGAGGGGGAGGGGGAGGGGGAGAGGGAGGGAGAGGGGGGGGGAGGGGGGAGGAGGATGAGGGGGCCTGTTGGGCCGTCTTGGAGCGTCGGGAAAATATTGCTGGCCCGTCGTTCCTGCCGTGGGAGGTACCTCGGGGCGCCGCGACGCGCTCCCGTTTCGCTCGGGAGGGAGCCCTATCATTGTCTTGTATTGTTTTCTCCTCGAGAGAGAGAGAGGTTTTCTTCGGAGGAAATTTAGCGGTTTTCCTCGGTTTGCGTTTTTCCTCGGTTTGAGTTTTTCCTCGATTTGGTTTTTTCCTCGGTTTTGGTTGTTCCTCAGTTTGGTTTTTTCCTCGGTTAGGGGGAGGTCTCCCGCGCGCGCCAGGTGCGCTGGGTGCCCGAGCGCGTCGGGCGCGCCTGGTGCGCCAGCTGCGCCACGTGCACCACGTGCTCGGCCACATGCATGCGCCAAGTGTGGCCATGTGGTCCAGGCGCTGCAGGTGCGCCAGGTTCGCGGCGTGCGCAGAGCGCGTCAGATGCGCCCGGCGCGCCCGTTCACGCGAAAAGTGCAGCTCGGGCAATGTGCCGACACCGCCACGGTCCCCTATCGAGCTCATGCACAGTGGCGGCGGTATGCTCGGCATCCTGCTTGGTGTGCGCAGCCTCAATCACTTCGCATGGCATCTGACAGAATGGCGGGCCAGCGCAGAGGGACATGTGTTCGCAAACCCACGATCCCTGACATGGGGCTCCAGGATATGGTCTGGTGTTTGCCGTAAGTAATGCGCACTTCACACTGTCTTTGGCAGGGATGGTTCGTTGAGTGTGGGTGGAGGGGAGGCGATCTTGGACGCTCTAACGCCCCGCGACCCCCCCCCAAACAAAACATCGCACCTCTTGGACGCTCTAAAGCTCTGCTACCCCCCCCCCCCCAAGAAAGCGCACCTCCAGGAAAAGACAAAGATTTTGGAAGAGGAAAGGAAGGTATCGCTAGACCACCTTAGGCCAAACGGCTGGTGGGAGCCTGATAGGGGTGGCAGACTCCAAACAATCTAGCCCAGGGTCTGTGGCGGCGTTCCCAATGAAGACCTCATGGCCTGACCCTACGGTTTCGACTGGAGATCCCTTCGTGGCCAGGAGCCCGTGCCAGCGAGCGGGCGTCCCGACGGTCAGGCATCGACTTCGGCCCAGACTTGCTTGCGCGATCGAGAGTCTTAGAAAGAATGCAGGGCGGGGCTTTTCTGCCGACCGAGAATCTTGATGATGCCAGCGCAAAGGCCCCAAAGGATGGTATGATTGTTGCTCTCTAGGTTATACTCCCTAACTTTCTCTTTACGTTCTGTCCTCCACTCCTTGCCTTCTGCTCTCAACTCGTCGTCCCCACTCTTTACACAATGTTACTATCTACTCTATGCCTGCCGATCTCCACTCCGCTCCCGACCCTCAAGTTTTTACTGGCTAGCCTTCCGTATCCATTCTGCCTCAAGCCGTAGAGCTGGAGAGTGTTCCGCAGGTTGCTTCGAACCGTACCCCCAAAAGCAAGGGCCATTGAACGACGTGGTTGAGATCCACGGTGGTCGACCCGGCGTCATGCCTTTCGACACGACTCGCGGCGACTCCGCCGACCAGATGCAGCCTTCGCTGCGCCAGGCCCTGGTCAATTTTCCGACACCCACCGGCGCGGCCAGCATGGCGGCCACGCGAGCCGTGCGCGCCCTGCCGCCGCACGCCGCCCCCGGAGAGCCGAGCCGCTCCGCCCGCGCGCCCGCGCTGGGCCCGCCGCCGAGCTGCACGCCGCAGGAGCAGCTGCAGGCCATCCTCGGGAGGCTGCGCGCGGGCCCGCCCAGGGGCCCCCGGCACTCGGCCCAGCCCGCGAGCCAGCAGCCGCAGCGCGCCGACGGCGTGGCTGCGTGCGCGGCGGAGAGCAGCAGCCATGAGGCTCCGGGGCGGGAATGTGCACACTGGGGGGCCACATATGCGAACCCTGCCCCTACCTACTAGGAGTTCTGAGGGAGAGGGAGGGGTTCACCTCGCTCGGGAGCTCCCCAACAAAGTGAACCCCACCCTCCCCCTCAGAAGTCGTGGGGGGCAGGGGCAGGGTTCGCATGTGGCCCCCTATACATGACCACCGCCTGGAGGGCCAGTTTTCGGAGCTTCGGCAGGCGGTGGATGCGGACATGTTCGGGCCCCTGGGGGCCGAAGTATGTCCAGATCCACCGCCCGCTGGGGCACCATGACGTCGGCTCCCGGGCGGTGGATATGGGCAAGTCCCCGCCTCGCAAAGGCCGGCCGGATCGGGAACGACTCTTCGGGCCAGCGCGGCCAGATTTCGATGCATGATGCTGCCCCGTCCAGCAGCCAGGCCGACAGCTTCACCAGCCCGGCGGGGACGGGCCTCGCCTCCCCCGAGGCCGCCGCCGCCGCGGGCCTCTCCAGCCGGGGGGCCCGCCTGCACGGGCTGGGCCACTGCACGCCGTGCAAGTTCTTCCGCTCCCTCCGCGGCTGCCGCGACGGCGCGCTGTGCGCGCTGTGCCACGAGCCGCACGCGGAGCTCTCGAAGGCCGGGCTGCGGAAGGCCGCTCGCGCCAAGGCTCGGGCCGGGCGAAAGGGGGGGATTGGGAAAGGGGGGGGTACGAAATTTGCTGCATGCAGCTGGTTTCGGCCCCACCGAGGGGCCCATTCCTCGATACATGGCTCCATCCGGCGCCGGGAGGCGCCGGGAAAATCAGCTACGTGAGCTGATTCTCAAACCCCTCCTTTGCTATCCCCCCCTTTCGCCCGACCTGAAAGGCCATGCAGCGCCGCGCCATGTTCGAGAAGGTGGCCGCGGCGACGGCGATGCTCGACGGCCTGCCCAAGGCGGCCGCCTGCCCGGGCTACGAGCAGGCATCGGCAGTCCCCTGGCTGCGCAACAGCTTCACTCATGCTCCTGACCCCAGCGGAGCGTCTTCGGCCAGCTCGACGTCCACGTCTTTACGGGGGAGCGGGGTCAGCTCCAGCCACGACCCCAGCGAAGGGCCGCCCTTCTACTGCCAGGCAGGGCTCGACCTAAACGGTGGTTTGAAGATCTCGTGAGCCGTTTTCGTTTCGATGTCGTTTTTGCTGTAAAGGTGGACTGAAGACAAAACGAGGGAGGTCGAAAACAAAACGAAAACGACAAACGCCGTTTATCACCACCCACCAAACCACCCCAACCCAACCCGAAGGCTCAAATGTACCGTCGATTTCCAGTGGGGGGGGGTCGGGGAACATCGAAAAAACACGCGTGGAACCCTTACCCCCCCAACCCGAAATTCGGGTCTTCGGGTTGGGTTGGGCTGGTCTGGTAGGTAGTCAGTTTAGGTTCAGTCCTGCTGCCAGGTGCTCTCCCTGTGAGGCTCCGAGATCTACCGCAGCCCGCGCCTTCCGCGGCCGCGGCGTGCCAGGAGAGCAGCTCCGTTCGCGGGGGTGCTCGAGGCGCGCCCTGCGCGGCCCGGCTGGCCGCTGGTACCGTGAACTGGGCGCCGCGTAATGGGGGGGTCATAAATGGGGGGGCGGCGAGTGTGGTCCGAACAGGTACCCAAACGGTACCTAAACGAGCCCCCTGGGGCTCTGGAGGGGCCCGAAAGGGGTACGAAAGGGGACCTTTTCTGACCCCCCCATTTGTGACCCCCCCATTAAGCCACGCCCAAGAAGCTCTCACCAGGGCGCCCGCCTGTCCCAGA